AGCCTCAAATCCATCAAATCCATCAAAAACCCAAGCTCTTTTGGTAGGGTCCCGGTGAAATGATTGCTATGTAACCAGAGTGCACTCAATTCAGTAAGGAGTCCAATCTCAGATGGGAACCCTTCCTGACAGCTGATTCTCATAAGCCCAAAAGGAATTCAGAGCTGTTAAACCCCCAATCACAGAGGAGAGTTGTCCTGTGAATTGGTTGACACTGAGGCTCAGCTCTTGCAGAGCACTTAGATGCCCAAACTCAATGGGCAGTGATCCAGTAAACTGATTCCTGTTCAAGAATAATAAACTCAGAGTAGACAAATTTCCCAGCTCTGAGGGGATTCTGCCATTTAGCTCATTCCCTTGAAGCCGCAATGAAGCCAAGGAAGCCAAGAGTCCCAGCTCTGACAAAATGTACCTGTGAAAAGGTTGTCATAGAGCCTCAAATCCATCAAATCCATCAAAAATCCAAGCTCCTTTGGTAGGGTCCCAGTAAGCTGATTCTTGAACAGAAACAAGGAGGTCAGAAACTTCAAACTCCCAAGCTCTTTGGGAAATTCTCCTGTCAGCTCATTCTCACTGATCCTCAATTCTTCCAATCGAATCATGTCTCCAAGAAATGATGGAATTTCACCAGAAAGCTGATTCTTCTGCAACCACAGATAATCCAAAGACTTCAACTGAGCAATTTCCGAGGGAAGCTGGCCTGTGAGTTTGTTCCTGTTCAATGCCAAATCTGTCACACGAGTCAATAGCCCTAACTCGGAGGGGATTTGACCTGATAATTGATTGTCATCCAAAAATAATGTTGTCAAGTCAGGCAAACGTAGGAGTTCCAAAGGTATTGGACCTGTGAATTCGTTGCCATCCAAGGTCAAATATCTTAATCCTGAGAACTCTTGAAGCTTCGAAGGGATCAGACCGGTGAACGAATTATCAGCCAGATCCAGGTGTGTTAAAGCCCCCATATTAAAGAGTCCTGAGGGCAGCAAAGATGTTATCGGAGTATCAATTCCACTGAAACTCAACTGAAGCAATGTCAATGATCTCAACATTGTGATCTCCTGTGGAACATAAGGTGTATGACCAGAAAGCTCAAGAGAATCAAGTCGGAGAGAAATCAATCTCCCAAGAGAGTCGCATGGAATTTCTTGAATCTTATGGTTGTATTCATCATCATCAATATTCTCATATGGTCTGTACACACCATAATCAAACCACCCAAGCCCATTGGAGTACCATTCACACTCATCCTTTGTCTCATCCAACCATCGGTCTTGAATAAAGGCAGGCCATGCTTCCCCCTCGAGAGCATAGTAGAAAGTGGCCATGGCAAAGAGCTGACTTTTCCTCCATTCTGGAAGGACTGTAATGTTGGGGTATTCACCCAGCCAGCGCCATGCTTTCCATTGGGGTGTATCGCTGCCATTATTGAGGTTGGCTATTGTGTCATCTGGCAGACTCTCTAGCAACCTCCAAAACTGTCGTAGGGGCAGACGATGGCGCCGGTGACGGCTCCATGGATGGGGAGGTTGTTGGCACTGGTGGCATAGCTGCTGCTTGCACTTCACTGGATGAAGGGCGCAACCCAAACCCGAGACTGAGACCAATGATCAATAATGAACACAAAACGATCGCAAGCCCACTGCGACGACACTGTGTCTCTTTCATTTCTTTCTCCGCTTGCTCTGCCGCTTGTTCTTGCAACTTGAAATCATCTACTTGTTGGGCTTCTTGGTAATGGCGTTTGCTGGATTCATCCATCACAGCCGTGGCGACAGCCAACCCATCCACATTGTCCACAACGATTTCTGGTTCATCGCCTCTACGTTGACTCTCCACGTCAAAACTCCGAGCGGAAACTGCAATATTATTTGCCTCTTCTTTGGGCGACTCTACTAGTGCCTTTGTACTTTTCTCTCGCGGGTGCGTCAGCGTGTTTGTGGACCTTTCGGAAGAAGCGACGGCGATCTTTTCACGAAGGCTTTCGGCATCGTCGGCCGCGTTCTTGTCGTCCAGGGCATTCGGGGAGTCTCCATCCAGTGGCATCTGGGGAGCTTCTCTCTCGTCGTTTCTTCTTTGCACAGCCGCAATGCTGTTCCTACCAAGTCCTTTCTTGGTGGCAGTACTACCACGGTGGTTATTATTGACACCGCTGTTGTCCACTGCTGATACGCGATGAGCCCCAGGCTGCATCTCGCCATTGCCCGTATTATTTCCCGGAAGAACTTTGACAGCCTCTCCCGATGCCACGGCTGCATCATTTGTGTCGTTGGAAGCACCTACTGCTTCTCCATGTTTTGTGGCCATTCTGGCAGCCTCTTTGACTGCCTTTTCCTCGGCTGATCTCCGCAGCCCACGTTGAATAGGGTCAGTGCCGGTAGCATCAGTCGAGGTACCTACTGCTTCTCCCTGTTTCGTGGCCATTCTGGCAGCCTCTTTGACGGCTTTTTCTTCCGCTGATCGACGCAGGCCACGTTGGATAGGGTCAGTGCTGGTCGCGTCAGTAGTAGCACCAACGGCTTCTCCATGTTTTGTGGCCAATCTAGCTGCCTCCTTGACGGCTTTTTCTTCTGCGGATCGTCGAAGACCACGTTGAATGACCGCATCATTATCAGTACTAGTACTGGTAGTCGTCACAGAACCCGCAACAGCAGCACTATTAGTCACATTGTCGTTCTTGGCGGCCTTTTGAGTTGCTCTGCGGTCCTGACTGCGTTGCAAGACGGCTCCTGGAAGGACAGCTGCAGTAGCGGAATCCCTGCTGGCTCTAGCAGCTTCCTTGGCAGCTCGTTCTTCGGCAAAGCGAGTCAAGCCACTCTGTAGTGTTGTTGCATCTTCCAAACAACAATGGTCATCCACGTCAATACTTGTCACTGTATGTCTGGTGACAGGAGTCTTGCCTTCCTTGGCAGTACCAGGTACTAGTACTGTGAAAGGTAGCTCCCGGAACGGACGCTCTCGATCTGGCAGGAGCGCCTTTGGCGGTCTTTTTCTCCTCCCGGAGGGGCTCCGCTTACGTCACACTCGGCACCAAAAAATCCAAAGCCACTTATCAGCGACGCCGTCATCAACCCGCGAAAACCCGTTGTTTTGACCCGTGTGCGGGTTAATGCGAGTCTGCAACGGGTCTTCGCGGGTTTGTGAGGGTTTGTGCGGGTGAAGGTGGGTTGTTAGTAGTTCGCCAGTCACGAATCGCGGGTAAATGCGTTAGGGTGCGGGTTATTGCGGGTTAGACGTACACAAGCACGTGTTTTTGCGGGTTAGTGTGCGGGTTAACGCGGGTCGATTGGCCTAGTCGTTTACGGGACTGATTATCCATCAATACACGCCAAACCTGACGTCACCCGAGCCCTTCCCGGCTCATCGAGGACCGCACCTCTTCCGACGGCTTGCCATTCAATAATTTGTTAGGGCTGTCATCAGCATCCCCTTGCTCCTTGGTGGTTTTCATGTTTTATTGATGATAGAAGAATCAACCGTCTCGCTTTCTGTCTGGCTGGTGGCTTTCAACGTAGTTGCTATTAGTTAATAAATGTAGCAGGGAGGCGTGATCAGTCTTCTTGCCATCTACTACTGCCCTTGCTAGCACGCTAGGGTAATTAAGCCAGCGGAGCTGTGTAACCTCGGCAGAAAGGTTTCAGTGAAAAAGCAGATACTGTACCCCTATTAGCTAGCTAGCTAGAAGCAGATACCTGTAGTGCTTAGCTAGCTAGTGCTTAACTTGCGCTTAGCTAGCCAGAAGCAGATCCCCTAGCTAGCTAGAAGCAGATTCCCATAGCAAGCTAGAAGCAGATACCTCAAGCTAGCTAGAATACTAGTTATATAGCTTTTGCTAGCTTTAGAGTTTTTCCTGGTAGAAGCAGATCCCCCTACTAGGATGCATGTAAATAGCTTTTAGCTAGTTTAAAAGCACCATCCTAGGATACTTATTTAGTTTTTGCTGACTTATTTGTATTCTAACCCTACCCTTGTACCTGCAGGGACCACCGTAGCAGGAAAAACAATTAAAGGGGTTGAGGGCTCTGGCAGCAAGACTGCCGAGGTAAATGCTGGAGTAGATCTCGATTGAGCAGCAAATGCGAGGTTCCTGTTGCGGGTTGAGTTGCGAGGAACAAAGAGATAAGAGCTTTCCGCTTGCAATAGTGAATGGTTATGGGAACGCACTCCGAAGCCGATCCAGCAGAGCCAAATGTGTCAGAATGTTCCAGATGTCCAAAGTCCCAATGCTAATGCCAATCGGGGTTCACTGTCTCTTTGGCCTTTTAAAAAAAGCTTGGGCAAGGGAAGTCCCTAAGTAAGTACGCTACCTGGTCACTCAAGTAATATATGTGTTAACATGTTGTCATGCCCTAAAAAGACATTCCAGCAGACGCCGCCAGGAATAGACCTTTAGCAGCTGAAGAGTCGTTAGCTATCAGGGCAGCTAGCCCATTGTTTTGGCTAATAGCTAGCTAGCTAGCTGAAAGCACAACAAGAGGCAACAAAGAAAGCAACTTTACAAGGTTCATTAGCTACTGTAGCTAGATCCCATACAATTGAGCTACCTGGTTGTCACTCATGTTGTCATGGTACTCCCGCATGTCAAAGAGCTCTTCTCCCTGCTCCATTGTTAGCTGCACCAAAACACATATGGCATGGACGCAGGAACCATGCTTGGAAGCCCCATGGCGGAAGGGCACATCCAGGGTATGGAAATTCTTGAGCAGTCGGTTGAGCTTCTCCTGTCGCATGCGAAGCCGTCCACGCATGCGACGCTGGTCCTCTCGAGTGCGCATAGAATGGGGGCACTTGCACTTCTCCCGTTCGGCAATGTAGCCATCGTCGGCTTCCACTTTCTCACCCACATCCAATTTGTCGCGTAGTCCCATTCGGAAGATCTGAAGGTCATTGTACACACCAGGAAGGTAGGGTCCCGCAATCCAGCAGATATAGGAGGAACGAATGTTTGTAGCAATCTCATAGCGGTAGGCAGGTTTGTTGAATTTCTGGGAGAAATAGTCCTTATCAGGCTGGCCACTGTCAAGCTTCCGTCCACGAGTCAAAAAGTCCACACCATCAGCTGACAACAAACAGTCATTGCCGACGTCGCCAATGAATCTGTTCACCCAAAGAATCTACAAGAGAGCAAGTGAGTGAGAGTATTGTTGGGAACAGAAGACGACAACAACAAGGACCTGCTCGACCACATCATTTTCCAAATAAGAGACCTCATCAATAAAGTACCACACCCAGGTTGACCAAGTCCCCTCATCCACTCCTCCACATCGAGATGCTCCGTTTTCCTCGGTGGGATACTGCTGTAGCATGTTGAGAGCCCACAAGAATCGTTCCATCGTGGCCCCTTCCTTGAGACCGCCGAAGGACTGCAAAAGATACCATGTGATGGACAAGACAGTCAAAGACACTCCACACCAGGCCCGCACACGGCGATCCTTGACAGCTTCGCTTCCAGACAACCGACCATTTCGAAAGAGACCAAAAGCAATTACTTCAAACTCCTCTTGTAGTCGATCAACGGCATCCAAATCGTACTCAACCACCATTGTGCCTTTTCAAGTGGAAAGGAGGAAGGAGGAACGAAAAAGTGTTTTTGGGTGTATTGCCCATGCGCTGAGGGGGAGTATTTCAATCGTTCCAAATTTCGAAAGTTGGGGCACACTCAAGCACTTCTCAGCAGGTACGATTGCAAGATATACATTTTTTAAAAGCTTCATAAATGATCCGTTTGCTAGAGATAAGAATTTGCACGCCTGGTCACCCCTATAGAACCAAAAGAATTTCATGACGAGGATGACGCCTCACGACTGAATCACTCAAAATTGAGCCAAAAGGTCTCAAAAGGTCTCAAAATTGAGTGATAATCACTCATTGCTCAAAATTGAGCAAAAATGGCTCAATTTTGAGTAAAAAGGTCTGAAAAACGACTGAAAAATCGCTCATTTTTTAGACCTTTTTGCTCAATTTTCAGTGCAGGACTCACAGAATGAGTGAAAAGGGCTCAAACTGCCGGAAGACACGATTCAACTTTTTACTTTGAAACAATAGATATATACATTAACGAAGATAATATAAACAGAAAGGGCGCCAACTCTGCATCCATTCGGAACTTTCAACACTCGGAGTGCCAAGCTTCAGTTCACTTTCCGACCAGAGTGTCAGTTGCCAAAAGCAAACAAGCAAGAAGTAAGTAAGAAAGTGTCACCATGGCCAATCGAGCCGCTGGTGTCCTCCGTTGGGGCAACGAGGAGCGGCTGAAGGTCTCTCAATACCTTGAAGCTGGCAACATTGACCCCACTCGCATGAACTCTGCCACGTACTTTGCTCATCTCAAGACTCTAGAGGCTGTTTGGGACCGACACTCAAACAAGAATTTCTATCAAAATGTTCGTCGTGCAGTGCAGGCTTGGCAGGCCGAAGGCACTGGAGGGCAGCGCCGAAATGACCAGAATGCTCCACCACCACCGGCGCAGGCTCCAGCTCGTGAACCGGAAGTTGGTTGGGGTGAGTCTTGAAGCCAATGACGAATCAAAGTCTCTCACACGCTCTCACGTGCCTTTCATTTCTCCTAGGTGACCTCCACGGTCCTTCCTGGTTGGATCAGCAACAGCAACGAACCGCAGCGGAGCAAGGAGCTACCTCACCACCGCACAACCGCGACATCGAAGAGCTTTTGGAAGTTTGTCTTTGGGAGCTTCCTCCATCATGTTGCGTCATGTTTACACCTGGCGTGAAGGTATCGGCCGCGATGTGGACCCTCGTGGTGTGATTGAAGCATCCCCCAACCTCAAACGCTGCAGTGTTGATATTCTACTTCCCGGACCGACCAACCGTGATCAGATTGAGTGCTCCGTCATGCAGCCCCCCAGCCAGAAGAAGGTCAAAATCAAGTACACACCTCCAAACACTTTCTTCTCCGCTCGTCGCACTGCCGTACGCACGGCCATGCGCACTGGAGTCCCAGCTGCTGGTATTGATATTGCCGCGAATCGTATGTCCGCTATGACTCGTGTGACTGCTCATGAGGAATCCTTGCAGGCGCTCACTATGAAGGAACGTGTTCATGAGTTCACCATTGATTTACCCTTTGAAGTCGAGCCTGACTTCACAACCCGTGATGACTGGGGTGCTCTTGGACGCGCCCGTGGTGTGCAGATTGGAATGTATCGCCATGATGACCCTCGCTTCGTCCATCACAATCAGGTGGTCTGGATTCTCCATCTTGAGATGGTATCTCGCGAACGAACCGTCCACACACCCAGCCGTCCGGTTGACGATTTTGCTGAGTGCTTTGGATTCGCCTACTAGAGCAACAACTGACCATGTCCCTGGGAAGCGCAACAGCAGCGGGAACACACAAACAACAAACAACAATAGTACTTGAAATTCGATAGCATCACTAACCACTAGTGTCACTTTAGCTGCTAAAGATCTATTCCTGGCGGCGTCGTATCAATCATGATTCCATTCGCCCGGACAAACATTCTTCCGTTACTGCCTAGCTAGAGTACCTGCTTGGGTTCATTGTGCATTCTTGCATCAATGCTCGAGGGGCACAGAGTAGGAAGTATAACATTGAATGGAAACGCGAGGAGAGCTCATTCCGGGATATACAGCCACAGTACAAAGAAAAACAAAGCAAGTAATATGTACTGGTGTCGACTGCATAGTCGCATTCGCAACTGCTCTCAAAGGAGCTTCAAAGTTGATCGCCACGAGTGCAGCCACAGCCACATAGCAAGCTGGTACAGTCAAAGGAAAGATCCGCGGACCATGGGCAATCATCCTTGATCCTTTTAGTAGCCACGTGCCGGAGACACAGGTGCCCAACTAGGGACCTGACCAGAAAGCATGTTAGCCTGTAAAAGTACATTTTTGCAAGGGCAAATCTCTGGACAATATGATCATTTAATAGCTGGGAAGGAGTGTATCCTCTTTCAACCACTGGAATGCCTTGAAATGTGATGATCCAGACAGTTCAATGTCATGTTGGGTCTCTTGGCAGAACAGAGACTGAGGGAAGTTCCTAACCACCGATTTTACTGTACGTACGTACGCGAAATGGAAAGAATTCGAAATAACTGCCGAATTCGGAAAGGTGACCTCCAAATCCACAGATACGGCGAACCGCAGGAAATGTTTATAGTGAAAAAGTGGAGCTGCGGTTCGCAGGATGAATGGATTTGGAATTCGCGTAGGGCCAATCATAACGCTCACGAACTCTCAGCAGGGTTAGGGTGAAACTATCCCAGCAAGATTCTGCCAAAACGCAATCACCGTGCGTCGGAAATCTCGTCATAATAGCACATGATTGTTCTTTGAAAGAATCTCGTTGGGGGCTAGTGCCTCGATCACCTCATGTTGATTCTCGTGATTCTCGTGCATTCATCATGTGGTTCCACAGGCAATCATGTGCATCCATTTGTGGCTCCTCTTTCACCACAATTTTCCTTTTTTTGAGTTCTTCCTATCACCGTAATCGAATTGAATTTCACCGCACTCTCCACCCGTTGTCATGATGAGTGAAGATGGCAGCGATGGGTCCATTGATATAGGACGGCAACTACAGGAGTCTGACGAGCAGAACAAGAGGAAGAGAGATGAAGCGGAAGCCGAGGACTCTGAGTCGTCATCGAGGAGTAGCCCTGCGGCCCCAGTCCTGGCCCCAGTCGTAGCCGCAGTCCCAGTTGCGGTGGCGGCCCCAGTCGCAGCCCCAGTCGCAGCTTCGCTTCCTCGTCCACGTCAAAGCTTGCAGGAAATACAGCACCGAATGCAAATGCAGATACAGGAACAGCATCAACAGCGTGCTCTTGCAGTGCCGCCACGACCTTTGGAATACTACGACGATGAGTTTGCCCAAGACATGTACATGGGGCAACTCAAAGCCCAGGAATTACGGGAACGACCACCACGTCCTAGGATGACTCCTTCGCCTAAGGAACATGCACGGTCTACCTCCGCCTCTCCCGTACAGAGATCGGCCTCACCGGCAATGAGGAAGGCCGCCAAGGAAGCTGCCAAACAGGTTCAAAAGAAGAAGAAAGAAAACGACAAGATTGCCAAGAAAGCGGTAGACGCTAGGCTTTCAAAGAAGAACGACGACCAGAAGATTGCCAAGAAAGCGGAAGGGGTTAGGCTTGCACAGCTTATCGCTGCAATGATTTGCGGATACGACCACATCGCGCACAAGCACAAAATTGTTTGTGGGCAAGAGAAAAGTCCCAAGGATGGCGAGATCTACAATGTGGCTATGACAATGACTCTTCGTAAAGACCAACCCAACGAAGAAGTCCTGGACTTGTCCAAATTTACCAGCAAGGAGATCCGTTCTCTCGCTCTCAAGTGTGGAGTTAGGGGAGGAGGTAACATGACGATTTTCATCGCAAGGATGGAGATTGCACGCAGCATTCAGATGGGCACTATGTACACTGACCTGTCTATTGCGAACCCAGGTTCTGATGCCGCAGCCGTGAGGATCAACACTCTCATCAAACTTTTGAATAATCATCGTCTCACCTTATTCGTTGGTGTCTGAATCAAATGCACTAATAACTCTTTTCCTGCTTCTCTGAGAGTGGCTGTTCTTCGTAGTCCTTGCGTCTCTTACTGTTGTTGAGAGCAACAAAGGCATTGAAATTATCAGCGTGGAAGCATA